AAAGTAAATTCACCAATAAGCGACATGGGAACAATTTCAGCAGTTTACATAAGAAAAAAATTCAGAATCTGCCAGATACTTTTCCATTTGTTTTGCGGAAAGATAAAAATCATTTGATGTATCCATAAAGGAAATCGATTGCAAAAGAGACATTTTTGATAAAAGACTTTTCAGATATTTCTCGGAGATAGATCAGATATATATCTGATTAGAGATTTGACAACTGGGAAGCGGGTTAGGCTAGTCCGGATACACTTGTTCATCATTATCATTCATATATTATTAACCAGTATAGTTAAAGTAAGGCGTATATAGCCTTTACCATAAGCAATTAGGTGGCATTGGTTTAATATGAGATTAAATGAAGGAATGGGGGCAATATGGAATTTGATCTATAAATATTTTGATAAAAAAATATTTTTATCTATCAATGAAATCTGGTCTATAAAAGAATTCATGTGTGAAGTCTGATCTGATTTTAAAAGGCAGAAGATAAAAAAATGTCGAAAATTTTGGGAATTTGATCATACACTTGATATTCGAATAGTTTTCAAGTAATCATCTCTGCCTTGAACCCTACTCATCTCTAACCTGAATCCTACTCATCTCTGCCTTGAACCCTACTCATCTTTACCATGAATCCTACTCATCTCTGCCTTGAACGCTACTCATCTCTAACCTGAATCCTACTCATCTCTGCCTTGAACCCTACTCATCTTTACCATGAATCCTACTCATCTCTGCCTTGAACGCTNTTTTCCACTCATTTCTGGGATTTACAAACTCAATCTAATAAAGGCTTCATTACATACCTTTCAGCTTTCACCTTGTTTTATATCCTTCATTATAGTCATTCATTTTACATTAACTACAAAGATCTGTAAAAAAACTGAATTTATTTAATTTTAACTAAACTTTTTGGCAAACATGGACAAAAAAGGCAGTAATATAAAAAATAATTGTTTTACTCTAAGAGGAAAAAGATTCTCTAGGACAGAAACAAGGGTTCGATTTGTTTTATATTTATTGCACAATAAAATCTTAAAGCTAGACATAAAAAAATCAGCATGTCCAGAGTCTAAGCTGGCTCAAACAAACATATAATGTGTAGCAATATTGAGTTTACACCATAAACCTCTCATTCCAATCAAATAAGGTTCGGTCGCTTGAGCCTTAAGTAACCTTTTTTTTGAGAGAAGTCTTTTTGTCATCGTTTCTGAAATATGACGGAAAACTGGAAATATCCGCGAAAACTCTTCAAACGGGTATTTTTTACACGATTCAGAGCACAAATCAATACTTCTGAATGCCTAGGTAACATTATGCCTAGTTCATTATGCCTAGATAACATAATGCCTAGAGAACACAATGCCTAGATTCATGAATGCCTGGATAACAGTATGCCTAGATAACATAAGAGTGCATTGAATGCCTAGACAATGTATTTCAAAAAAAAATAAAAATATTAAAGAGAGAAAAAAAAAAAACATACAATCCGGTAACATTTTTACAAAAATCCGCAAACAACTTTCTGAAAATGTGAAACTAGATGCAAGAGAAAGATTAAAGTTTGTTGTTGATGCTTTTGACGGCATGCCAAGAGCAGATTATATTTCTACTTTGGCCCATGATAGGCAAAAATTTGACCAATAAAATATGTAATAAATCATGTAAACATATTAGTATCATTTATTTATTGCTTGACAATGTCTATAGGCATTCAATTCAGTCTGATGTTATCTAGGCATTGGGTGACTAGGCATTATGATGATCTAGGCATAATGTTTTCTAGGCATTCAGAAATATAGGCATAATGTTATATAGGCATTCATGAATCGAGACATGGTGTTATCTAGGCATAATGTTATCTAGGCATTACGAACTAGGCGTTCATGAATCTAGGCATGAGTGAACTAGGCATTCGGGAACTAGGCATAATGTTACTGAGCCATTTTGTGTAAACAAACTATAAAGTATACGTTTCCCCCCAAAATAGTTCACTTTAACAAAGACAACATTCTAAATATATTGATTTATTCAAGGATAAATATCTGAACGGGAAAAGTAATTATAAATTATGAACCGCGCTTAAAAATAATTAAATGCAATTTTGTTTGCATTTAAAAAAAATTGTAAAACTCAGGCCCTTTTTTCAAGATGGGGGGAGATGGGGAGGTTGATATCTAAAGCTTTTGATTTGAAACAAATGGAGTGGAGGAAAAGATATTGTACAATAATGATTCGAAAATTAAAAATTGGATTCTTTTTTCTTCTTCACACCCAACATTTTTGAATATGGAAGTTGCGTGCATGCTTTGAAAGTGTTTACCATAACTCTGGTTCCTATGAAGAAATTTATATCGACAAGCTATTTTTCGACAAAACTGAAATTTTATACTTCAATCTTTAATTTATGAAAGAATTACCATAAATGTTTTTTCATTGCATCAATTATTTAAAAATACCAAAAAAATAGTAAAAATGTATAAAATCAAAATAAAACATGAAAGTTTCATTTTTCCCAAAACCCCCAAAATCAAATTTTGGAAAAATACCTTAGCATTGAAATATTTTGAATCTTAATGACCGAAACTGACTAGGGTCAACCCAGACAGAAATATTTTCAACAAGATGTGGAACTAACATCTACTTTATCAGCTCTAATAGGTTTGGTCCAGCAGCAACATTAAATTTGAAATTGGAATATGCAATATGCGTGATGAGTACAAAAAAATTTCATTTGACCGTATGGCTGTATTTCATCTATAAGTTTTAATCTAGCGGAAAAAGAATGAATACAAAAAAAAAACTCTAAGGTAAGTTTATAAGTATGCAAAAAATAATTTAGAATTCTATCCTTTCCGTATTTGCACAAAGCTTACAAGTCTTTGTTATAACAAGAAACACTTAATACCAGGGAATACCAAGGAATATAAAGGAATACGAGTAATATCACGGAATAGCATGGATACCAAGGATAACCAAGGAATACCAAGGAATACCAAGGAATACCAAGGAATATCAAGGAATATAAAGGAATACAATGGAATATCAAGGACAACCAAGGAATATCAAGGAATATCAAGGAATACCATGGAATACCAAGGAATACCATGGAATACCAAGGAATACCATGGAATACCAAGGAATACCATGGAATACCAAGGATAACCAAGGAATATCAAGGAATATCAAGGAATACCATGGAATACCAAGGAATACCATGGAATACCAAGGAAAACCATGGAATACCAAGGAATACCAAGGAATGCCAAGGAATGCCATGCAAGACCGATGAATAACATGGATTACCAAGGAATACGTACCAAGTAATATCAATGAATACTAAGGAATACCAAGGAATACCAAAGAATACCAAGGAATATAAAGGAATACGCGTAATATCAAGGAATGCCATGGAATACCAAGGAATACCATGGATTACCAAGGAATACCATGGAATACCAAGGAATACCATGGATTACCAAGGAATACCATGGAATACCAAGGAATACGTACCAAGTAATACCAATGAATACTAAGGAATACCAAAGAATACCAAAGAATACCAAGGAATACCAAGGAATATAAAGGAATACGCGTGATAACAAGAAATACCATGGAATACCAAGGAATAACATGGATTACCAAGGAATACCAAGGAATATCATGGATTACCAAGGAAAACCAAGGAATACCAAGGAATACCATGGAATACCAAGGAAAACCAAGAAATACCAAGGAATACCAAGGAATACCAAGGAATACCATGGAATACCAAGGATAAGAAAGGAATACCAAGGAATACCAGGGAATACCAAGGAATTCCAAGGAATACCAAGGAATACCAAGGAATACCAAGGAATACCAAGGAATACCAAGGAATACCAAGGAATACCATGGAATACCAAGGATAATCAAGGAATACCAAGGAATACCAAGGAATACCAAGGAATACCAAGGATAATCAAGGAATACCAGGGAATACCAGGGAATACCAAGGAATACCAGGGAATACCAAGGATAATCAAGGAATACCAAGGAATACCAAGGAATACCAAGGATTACCAAGGAATACCAAGGAATACCAAGGAATACCAAGGATTTTTCAAACTAAGTTAAGAACATTTCCCGAGTTCCCCAAACTAAAGGGGTTCATGAGTTATGATCTGATATACAAACAGACAAACTAACCAGATGACTACTCAATTAACTCTCATATATGTACTTATATAAATAATGACACCAGTTTTCTATCACCTTTACAATTTCATTCGTAAATCTTGAATTTCTGGTTTGCGAAGAATTAAGAAAATAAATTATTATTAATGTTTTGAGATGACAGATCACAAATTATTTAATACTGAGACTGAACAAATATTAAACGTTTGTTAATTTTAGTTGGTGCTTTTTTACCCAAACAAAAGACAAAAAAGGGTTTTAATTAAATTTATTAAAATACATCATATATATTTAAGAATTTAGAGGAACGCGTTCTGTCACCTCCTGTGGCTGTATCTGTCTGAATTCTGTGCTGGGAACCTTCAAAATAGTGTTTTTCCCTTCTCACTTTAACCCACTTTTAAGCCCCCGCCCGAATAATTATTCTTCATTATTTTTATCAAAATTCAAACATAATCGTCCCAAAATTAGGTTTGAACAATCATTTTTCAATCTTTTGTTTATTAATGATTAAAAAAGTCTATTTAAAGCCAAAACTTGAATAAAAATATCGTGATTTTTGGAAAAACAAATGATTTACTCATTGAGATAAGCCATATCTTCATAACTTATTAATCTTTTTTGAAAGTTTAGAAAACATTTTTTCAATTCAGCAATAAAGATTTTTGGTTTCTGTTGACTAATCAGGTAAAAATAGCATTTTTGAAAGCATAGGAAACACAAATTGCAGTTTGAGAGCGGTTTCATATAATCCCGGTTATGTTTGAACCGCTCTCTATTCGGTTCTCTTCCAGGGTTCATATATCCCGGAGAAACTCACCGCATTATCAATTGTATTTGAACCTACACTCCACTCACTAGAAACATGTCTGACGCTGCTGCCGCCGCCCCCGCCCCCGCCGTCAAGGCCCCTAAGGTGAAGAAGGCCACTAAGCCTAAGGCCCCTGCTGCTCATCCTAAGTATTCTGTCATGATTGCTGCTGCTGTGAAAGCTCTGAAGGATAGAACTGGATCATCTCGTCAGGCGATCTTGAAGTATATCTGTGCTAACTACAAGGTTGATGCTACCAAGGCTGGAGTACATCTCCGTATGGCTCTGAAGAGAGGAGTTGCTGCTGGTAATCTTAAGATGGCCAAAGCTTCTGGAAAGGGAGCTGGTTGCTACAAAATTGGAGAGAAGGCTGAGAAGCCAAAGAAGGTCGCCAAGAAGCCCGCTGCAAAGAAGGCTGCTAAGAAGCCCGCCGCCAAGAAGGCAGCAAAGAAACCTGCTGCCAAGAAGCCCGCAGCAAAGAAGCCTGCTGCTAAGAAGCCTGCTGCTAAAAAGCCTGCCGCTAAGAAGCCTGCTGCAAAGAAGCCCGCTGCTAAGAAACCAGCAGCAAAGAAGCCCGCCGCCAAGAAAGCTGCTGCCAAGAAGTAAATCTTTGACCAAGTAGAAAAGCTAATGTACCTGATTTTAGTACACACTCTTCATGAACATAATCTGTATATAGAACTTATATAACTGGTGGTTAAATGCTGTTTTGTAGAAAAATATTAAAACTCTAGAAAAAAATAATAAAAGCTAAAAATTAAACTTGAAATTTATCTGAATTATTTGGTTACATTTATATTTACATAACATATTCGTAGATTAATTAAATTAACAGACAAGATTCTAGATATCTTCTCAAGATTTAGATGAAACTTCTCGGCAATAACCCTGAAGAGTGCGTGGATTCACCAGACAGAGAAACTCTGGACTTCAATGAACGATTTATCCAATTCTTGAGATGACGATATCTAGTGTCCCATCTGTTAATTTAATTAATCTGGATATATCAAAGCTTAGATGTTAGGAAGTTCAATATTAAAGGGACTTCAAGTTCCTAACTTAAAAAAAAAAAAAATTTCTATGTTACCCCGGCATATCCACTGAGCCTATTTGGTCAGCTCTATGGCTTTAATACAAGTATATAGGTATGAGCGAAGAGATTTACTATATAGCCATAAAGATTGATATATAAGATATATAAAGATTAATAGATATGTTTAACCCTATTCCTGCTGGGGGGGGGTCAATTTGACCCCCCCTGTAGTTTTTTTTACATAACTCAAAAAGTATTGGTCTGAGGCTGTTGAAATTTTCTGACTTTTCTTACATACCCAAAGCCCTCCCTTTAGGCCTAAAACCGGGCTTTAATACTAACTGCCTGAGTCCTCAGGCACACTGCCTGAATGACTGCTTTTGCCTGTAACAAACTAAATCTTTGTTTTGACCCACTTTCACTTGTCAGATTTTGATAAAATTTAGCTTTTTGGAAAGCCTATGACATAAGGAAACGGATTGCACAAGTTTTGCGAAAAAAGATTGCTAATTTTTTTGCAAACAACCTGTCAAAGGAAATTTGCACATTTTTAGTTTTTCTTGATTAAAAATCAGGTTATTTAAAATTTTGCAAAAATTTTTGCATATTTGAAATGGCATGGTCAAGGGCTTTTCAAAAATGTATAATTTGTCATTTTTTGGACAAATTTTTTTTGCAAACATTTTTACTATAAAACTGGATTTTGCGATAAAAAATTCAATTTTCGCAAATTTGCAAATTTTTTTGCAGATTCTAAAAGTAGAGCACAAGAGCTTTCTAATGATGTATCATTTGTCATATTTGGACATAAAACATGGGATTTAGAGGGGGGGGTCAAATTGGCCCCCCCCCCAGCGTATCCTGGTTTTCAAGTACCCCAGCAGGGATAGGGTTAATAAATAAGTTTTTAAATTATTTAACTTTTAAGACGGACTATTTGATTTTTACTCAATGTCTTTCTGACACTATTCATCTTAAATTAAAACAATACCGCAAAATATATATATTTATATGTTTTTATTTTGTTTTTACACAGTTAATCACTACGTTTATTTTCTTAAATCCTGGTACCCGTGGCCGTAGCTGAACACTTAAAACATATCTTTTACCATTTCATGTAATGCACCAAATTTATAGGTACAAAAGATGAGACACTAAAGAAATGATAATTTCAAGGTTCAATCCTCTGCCCCGAATGTTAGCTTTAAAAGCCCTATATTTAATGATTTGAAGGAAAGAAAGAAACCAGTTCATAATCTCAGGAACTCGTGAATATATAAAGAAACCAACAGTCAGGCGCGCAACTAGACATTGTTTTCGGGGGGGGGGGCAAGATGGAAATTATTTTGCCCCCCCCTCTTAACATTTATGGGGGGGGGGGCAAGAAAAGTGAGTGTTTTACTTAAACAATAAAAAAACTAACGTTACCAACTGCATATTCAAAAAGTCAACACACCTAATATGAAATAAAAAAGAAATCTATTCTGGCTAATATAAATCATAATATTAATTAATTTACAATTTACATATATATATATATTCATTATTCATCCATAAATCAAATACGTACATTGTACTCAGACACTAACAAGAAATGCCTTTCATTAAAAAATCAAGGTTATTGTGAAACATATTTTTCTATCAGGCTAGGGGGGGCCTTGCACCCCTCCTCCCCCCTCTAGTTGTGCGCCTATGGATTACGTGCAATCGTCTCTGAAGGCTCATTCTTTGTGAATAACTGCCCCTGTATGTGAGAAGTAATATATGGGCAATGATAAGACATCACGACAAAATGCTGATCCTAAATTTGTTTCCAACATTTCAAACTGAATTCTGTAAAAGTTTGCTTTCATTCGACCAAGCAAAATTTGTATCCGAAGAAAAAAAGGGGGGGGGAACAATGCATTTTTCTCAGGGGCTAAAGTTTTTCATGTGGCAGAAAAAGCAAAGAATAAACGATGTGTTATGGAGGACGTCGCGCCGGTCTCCAATAACACAAGGAATCTTTCTTGAGTATATATTTTACTTATAAGGATAACAATAGAACTGGAAAATTGTCGTATGTCGGACGAAATCACATTATTACTTGAGAGAATGCCGCGTAGGATTCTCAAGCTCTCTTCTTTGTTCTCGGCCTTTGTGTAAGGAGGCCGCCAGGTCTCGTCTTCCACAGTACCCCCCCCCCCCCAGCGTAGAGGCCGGAGGTTGACCAAAGGATAAGCGTCTAGTCTCCTATTATCACTGGAGTAAGTTTAAAAATCACTTTTTTCCTCCTAGGAAATATTACATGTGGAGGCTGAGGCTGGAGTCTTCCTTGGTCTTCCTCGAGGACAAGCTGGAACAGGAGGAGGAGGATCTGGTGGAACCCTACGAGGAGGACGTCCACGACAAGGTGGTTCGGCTGGTTTCTCTTCATCAGAGGTAATGGCTGGTTTCAAACTCTGCACAGAAACTACCTCTACTCGATTACCAACCTGGAGACGGAAGGTTCTCTGGGATCGAGTGAGAACTTTATAAGGTCCTTCATACAGAGGAGATAGAGGGGGAACATGTCCATCTCTGCGAACCAAAACCATGGGATGTTGTCAGGGATATTGGAACCTGCTGAGGAAGCTCTGGAACTTCGGGAGTGTTGTGACGAGCAGGCACTGGACGAAAACCTGACATTGAGTTTTTAAGATCCTCGTAGAACTGCTTTGAAGGAGGATCCTGACTCTGTAAGAACTGATGAGGGAGGACCAGATCTGAACCATAAACAGCCTCCGCAGCAGATGAGGCTGAATCCTCTCTCGAGCAGAACGGAGACCCAAAAGAACCCAAGGTAAATGATTGTACCAATCAGCAGCTGCCAGCCGAGCTCGTAGAGAATTTTTAAGCTGTCTGCGGAATCTTTCAACCATCCCATTGGCTTGTGGATGAAAAGCTGTGGTTTTTCTGTGGACGATACCCAGCAAGGAACAGACGGCTGACCACAGGGAGGAGGTGAATTGAGCTCCTCTGTCACTCGTGATAATTGCTGGAACTCCGAACCGTGCAATCCAACCGTGGAACAAGGTAGAGGCACACTCTGTTGCTGAAATACCCTGGAGAGGGTATGCTTCCGGCCAGCGAGTAGATCTGTCCACACAGGTCAACAGGTACGTGAAACCTTGAGAAGGTGGTAGAGGACCAACTAAATCCATGTGAATATGTGAAAACCTTCGAAACAGAACAAGGATTTTCTCCGGTCGGAGCTGAACATGACGGAGAATTTTTCCACGCTGGCAGGGAATGCATGCACGACACCAATCTCTCACATCGTTGGCTAGTCCACCCCAGACAAATCTTGATAATATTAATCTCCTAGAGGCTCTTGTCCCTGGATGAGATAAGCTGTGCAGAGCGGAGAATATCTTGAAACGCTGAGAAGAAGGTACTAGAGGATGGAGAACCTGCGTTCTAGCATCACAGAGTAAAGAACCATTTTTAACAGGTACAGAGACGAGGCGGAGAGAGGGAGATCTCTGTAGACGGAGAATCTCTGGACAAGAGCGTTGGTCTGATGCTAGCTCTTCAAAATTAATACCTTTGGCGGAGGTTGGAAAGGGAGAGGGTAGAGAAGAGGAGGTGTCACCTCTGACACCTCCCACACCTGACCACCAGGGGGATGGGCAAAAGGCGGATGACAAGGCGAAGGAGGAGATGGATGGGAAAGATTATCTGGAGTATGGCGAATATCACTGGTAAACTCTGATATATAAGATAACTGGCGTTGTTGGCGTGCTGACCAGGGCGGAAACCAGGGGGAGATGATCTGTAATGATGTGGAACTTTCTTCCTTCCAATTCGAAACGGAAATGACGTAGGGGCGAGAAAAACCCCCAATAACTCCCTGTCAAAGGCGGAATATCTTTGCTGGGTGGCAGAGAGTTTGGCGGAGAAGAAGGCTAGAGGTCTCCAATTGGATTTCTCGCGCTGCTGCAGGACTGCTCCAACGTGTGAGGCGGAAGCATCTGTTACAAGGGAAACTTCAGCGGACAGAGAAGGGTGAGTCAATGGAACGGCGGAGGAAAGGGTGGACTTGGCTTTCTCAAAGGATTCCTGATGAGTTTCTGACCAGTTTAATGATTTAGGGTTTCCAGCCAGGGCATCTGTGAGCGGACGGAGAATCTTTGCAATACCAGAAAGAAACCTCCTGTAGAAATTGACCATGCCAAGGAATCTTTGCAAGGAACGGACATCTTGAGGACGAGGCAGCTGAAGTAGTGATTCAACATGACGGCGGAGCGCAACAATTCCTGTGGCTGTAATCTTGTGACCGAGATAATCAATTTCTGGAAGAGCAAAACTGCATTTCTCGAGGTTGATGACCAGGCCATTCTGTACTAGGAGTTCCAGGACAACTCGGAGATGTTTCAGGTGAAGACCTCGAACACGGCTCGCCACAAGAATGTCATCAAGGTAAATAAAAACAAAAGGTAAACCTTTAAAGATCCGGTCCATGAGACGTTGAAAGGTCTGTGCAGCATTCTTCAGGCCAAAGGGCATGGACAGGAACTCGAATAAACCAAAAGGCGTAACAATGGTGGTTTTACAAATGTCTTCACTATTCATGGGGACTTGATGAAAACCTTTCACTAAGTCCAGTTTTGAAAAAACTGTACAATGTTTTAAATTGTTTGTGAAATCACGAATATTTGGCAAAGGATAACAATCAGGCTTTGTCACGTTGTTCAAATGGCGATAATCGCCTCAAGGACGCCAAGAACCATCTGGTTTAGGAACCATGTGTAGTGGAGAGGCCCAGGGACTGTCAGAACGTCGTATAATTCCCGCCTCTTCCATCTTACGGAACTCAGCTTTTGCAGACTCCAACTTTGCTTGATCCAATCGGCGGGCACGGGCAAACAGCGGTTGACCTTCAATCTCTATGACGTGCTCCACCTTGTGAGCAGGAAGTTGACCAGGTTGACGAGGTTCCCAAGCAGCAGGGAATTCCTTCAGAAGGGAGGAAACATCAGGAGCAAGTTTGAAAACTGAAGCAACGGCGGGATCAGCGGTTGACATGACTGGAGAGGATAGAGGCTTCATAGATGCACGTTCCAGAACCTGTTGTTTAGAAGCATCCACTAGAAGGTCGAATTCAGCCAGAAAATCAGCCCCCAGTATAGGACGATCAACATCTGCTAGTAGAAATGAGAACTGAAAACGGCGGTTAACAAATTGGAGCGGGATAGTTCTAAAACCCCAAGCTTTGGTAGGACGACCATCAGCCATCAGTAAACGAGGACCTGTGGGAGCAGCTGATGAATGATGTGGAAAAACTTAGTGTGATGCACCTGTGTCGACCAAAAAGTTGCGATTGGAGAGGATATCCTGGAGGTAGATGAGAAAACCGCCGACGGGAAGACTGTTTAATTCCTCCTTCTCCCGTCGGCTCTGGAGTTTCCCTGGAAACTGCATGGAGGACGGCAGTTATTCACAGAGTTTCCAAACCATTTGTGAAAATAGCATTCACCTGCACCAGCTGGACCTGGAGTCTGGCTTCGGCGGACAGGAGAACCATCAGAACGCTCCCTCCCTCGAGCACGAGAAGGAGACGTAGAAGCTGCAGCTAGGAGAGGATCAACTGCTTGTGCTCTACGAGCATCCCATAACTTATCTGCGTGTAATGCCATCTCGCTTGGATTCTTGAAATCCTTGGCCACCAGGTGGTCTCTCATCTCTACAGGTAACCTCTCAAGAAACAGACCAAGGAACAGGCTACCTGGTACTTCATCTTCAGGGAGTAAGGCCAGCATGGCGTCCATCAAAGCTGTGGGGCGGCGGTCACCTAACGCAGGATGGTGAATAACTTTGGACACCCTCTGCCAGCGAGACAAGGTGTAAGAGGCTACCAGCTTCTCCTTCAGATCCTCGTAGGGCGTAGAGGACGTAGCAGACGAACTAAGAATCAGGCCACATACGGACACCATGATGTTCTGCAGGAGTTTTTGCAAAACATGATCAAATTTTGTTCTCGATTGCGTAATCTGAGCATTACGGAATGCAGACTCGGCATGAATGAACCAGAGATCAGGATCGTCGGACCAGAAATCTGGAAGCTTGACGGCTACCTTTGTAATGTAGTGAGCAGCAGGGGCTGAAAGATTTCCGTCGTCCTCACTCATGTTGATAGGAATCACTCGTTCTCCCTCGTGTTGACAGAATTCACTCGTTCTCCCTCGTGTTGATAGAATTCACTCGTTCTCCCTCGTGTTGATAGAATTCGGAAACACCGTATATATGTTCAAGGTCGGGGTCACCAATATGGAGGACGTTGCGTCGGTCTCCAATAACACAAGGAATCTTCCTTGAGTATATATTTTACTTATAAGGATAACAATAGAACTGGAAAATATGTCGGACGAAATCACATTATTACTTGAGAGAATGCAGCGTAGGATTCTCAACTCTCTTCTTTGTTCTCGGCCTATGTGTAAGGAGGCCGCCAGGTCTCGTCTTCCACAGTGTGACGTTTGTTTATACTGTTCATATATATAAAGAGCTAAGAATAGTTGCATAAATAAAATACAGGGTGTCCCAATAAACACAGGAATTAAATGACGACTTCTATATATTCTTTGTTCCAAGCAGAATTATTTCGTAAATATATGTTTGTAGTATCACAGTAAGACATTAAACACCGAAAACTAGAAGTCTCGGGCTCTCGGGATTTACAAAATGCGGTCTACCATTTTTTCACCTTCAAAATTGACGGAGATATTAGGAAATTTGTCCAGATTCCAGTTAATTATAACGATAAATTACTACTTAACCGGGAGTTTTCATGAGGATAATTAAATTGAGGGGAAAACCACTTAGCCTTGGGCCTCCTCNTGAAATGACCAAGGCTACTTTTAATCACGTTCAGATAATCATCAATAACAGCTGCAAAATTTACTGGCCCATCGTTAGGAACTAGGAACTTGGTTTCCTTCTTGTCTGAGCGCTGTTTCATCCAGTATGTTCTATGAAGTTCATCCAGGTTTTCTGGCACTAAAAAAGAGATTATTGACACAAGGAGCTCACCAATTTGATTTATATCAATTTTAAGACAATTCTTTTTCAATTTAGTTCTTACCTTTTTTCTATAATCCGGCTTTAAAAGCTCAAGAGCAGATTTGAGAAAAATGATGGATGACATGTTAATGGTACGGAAGCTCTTTCTTGAATGCGAAGTTTCTGAATTTCTATACGAATTTTGTGAAGTTTTCACAAAAATGTTGCGAAGTTTTCACAAAAATATTGAGAAATTTAGAAACCCAATTACTATTTTTAGAAATCATTAAATTTGCTTATTAAATAGTCTTCCATATATGCATTAGTAAGAAATAAGAGAACTAAAATCATAATTGATAGTTTTATTGATTTCATTATTATTTTATCCCCCACGGTTGGTTATTTCGTTGAACAGGAGATTAAAAATCAAATAAACTGTTCAAATGTTTAACACCTCCGCCGATTTTAAAGATACAAAGAAGGTAGACCACATTTTAGAAAGCTCATTAGACGTTCCACCTTTTTATTGATGCACTTTATGTCATTTATCAATTAACGGAAATCAAAGACGGTATTCAAGTCATCTCTGAATTCCCATGCTTATTGGGACACCCTGTAAATAAATAAATGCATCGACTATAAAGCGTCTCAACTTCTTATCCTTAGATTTTAGCTCACTTACTCGTATATACTTTTATAGTCCTAGAGGCAAGCACATTCTTCAGCTGTAAACACTTGCCTTTTTTATTAAGAAGTAATTGACAAAATTCACATAAATTTGTTCGTTTGAAACTTATCACTGTGTAATCAGTTTGTTTCCGTAAGAGAAAGGCTTCTACATTTTTTTACGAATTCGAAAACCACGGACACAAACTTCACAGTTAGTTGCAATATGAGAAAACCACGGACACAAACTTTTAGTTGCAATATGAGAAAACCACTGACACAAACTTTTAGTTGCAATATAAGAAAACCACGGACACAAACTTCAGTTAGTTGCAATATGAGAAAACCACGGACACAAACTTTCAGTTGCAATATGAGAAAACCACGGACACAAACTTTCAGTTGCAATATGAGAAAACCACGGACACAAACTTTTAGTTGCAATATGAGAAAACCACGGACACAAACTTTTAGTTGCAATATGAGAAAAAATTAGGTTTTCGCTGCCTTTAAAGTTTTTGAATTTGAATTTGCTTTTATTTTACCTTTTTCTAAAATTGCGAGAAAGGAATTAAATCTTTGCCACTGACTCTGATTTTGTTCTCCTTATATCTGTGCAACTCATTGTTGTAATTCTTAGATATTTATAACTATGAATTCTGATGGTTCGAATATCTTTGTCCGAATAAAACAACATTAATGACAATACCAACAACAATGTTAATAATAAAACACAAAATTAGATATTAGTTTTTATTAGCTATCTTCAGGAGTGTGTATAATGATTGTAATTATAGGATGAAAAAATATATGTACAATATGGATATTACATGGGACATTACAAAAAGTGACAATTTATCCATTCTTTTACACTTTTCTAAAACAATTTTTCACGTGCACATGTGTTAGCGTTGTGCGATTAACACAAAATAAAAACAAACAAATGAACCTGAGGGGGGAACTTCAGATGACTAAAAATTCTGTTCACAGAAATTAACCTAGTAACTGAGAAGAAAAAAAAACCTATCCATCCACCCATTAGTGACGAGACCATTAACTATTAGTGAAGTTGTTTTAGAAGGATCTTGTCAAAACAAAACTTGATTGCACTCATGAAAATATGATATTCAATTAAATTTTTGATTTTTTTTTGTACAGGGTGACCTGTAAAACATGAAAATTTAAAAAACTTTGCCAATTCATAATTATTTAATTTTTTTCAAAACTTTACTTTTCATGTTTTAGTTATTTAGATCTTTAAAAGAAGATTCCAAAAATATCTTTAAATTTTTTCTAGCAAAAAAATGACAATTTTATAGATTCAAAACTAAATTACAGGGTGTTATTTTGGTTTTTTCCTAATTCAAAATCTTGTTTTATGGGGTTTTTTAAAATTGAAAATTTAATAAAAAACCCAATTTTGAAGTTAAGTCAAATATAAAATATGTTTTGAAAACAGGAAATCCTAAGGAAAGCGCAGGAAAAGACAAGACAACATTTAGTTTAAGAAAAAAGGCACTTAAAAAACCCTCACCCGGTCAAAAATGACCTTCTCGTCACTAATGGGTTAAGATTTTTTAAAAATAAGAAAAAAATATTTGAAATCGATAAAAGTATCCATAAAAGTTTCAATAATTGTCTTGTTCTTTGATTCGAAATAGAAAGAAAATAATCTAAGATCATATTGGGGGTTGAATTGCCTCTGAAAAACATTGTTTTCACTTCACTTTGTAGCCCCCCCCCTCCACGTATACACATCTGAAACTATTGTTCAAAATTTGTCAAGTTTTAACATTTGGTGAGCAGGGTTAATAACAGCCATTAGGATTCTGGGTTCAGGAACACAAGGAATAAAAATGCAATGTTTTCTTCATGATCAAATTAAACAACAAGTGTATATTACATAGGTAAACTGGAAATCTACGCGTGGCCGAGTAGTATCTAGAAGTGGGTCGATCAGTGAGTAAAAATTAAAGAATCCCAAACTGTTTTGAACTATGGCACTAAAATCTGCAAAATGTTGATCACTCTTCTAAAGGGAAAGTGTATTTAAAATTACACTATTCTTTAGGCAATATTTATTATTTATTATTTATGTCTATTTTAAGCCCGGTACATGTTTGTAAAAAATAATGTATAATGTATATTGTAAACAACTAAGGCCTCTTTTACCCAAAAATGTTGGTCCTTTGCACGCAGAGAAATAGGCAATGTAAATAATTAATAGAAAAGTAAATCTTGAAAGTGATAAAATTGTTTTAACGACTAGGATATGTTAAAAGATATAAATTTGAAAACAAAATTATGAAAACTATAAGACAGCATGGTCTGGTAAAAATGTAACAATTTTCTTTTTGAGAAAAACGATTTTAACGACGGAATCAAATTAGAAAATATGAATATGAATTTGATAGAAGTTTTAAAAATATGAAGAATTGAGTAGCATTCATATACCATGGACTAGGTGTGGATTGACTGCGATAAAAAATGGATTAACAAACATTGATAAAGATTTAATCAGATTAATTGAAGAAACCGTCATTGAAATTGATTGGATTAATGAAGGACTGAATTGGATTGGATGTTGGACTGTAATGGATTTATGAAGGACTGAAATGGATTGGATGAAGGACTGGAATGGATTTGATGAAGAACTGGAATGGATTGGATGAAGAACTGGAATTCTAAATTCTAAGATCTCGAAATAATTTTCTACAGAACAGCTCCCGCATACCTAGATAGTTTATAAAAGTTAATCAAATAACATCAAGGGTTGGGAGAAATCTATAAAATACTAGGCTATCAGGGAGCTTCGCGCTCATCTTTTACTTATACTTTTAATAGATCTTTCAGCATTTTCTCTTCGATAAAACAAAAATAATGGTTCAATCCTTATAGCGGAATAGTGGTATGGCCCTAACTCTCTAATTCAACCATTAGATCACGTGATCTATCTATCTATCCTAGGCCCCAATAAACAATATCCATACATATATGAAGTAATAAACCACGAAAACCTATTACAGACAATCACACATTTAGTTCACATTAAACTGCTCTACAATCACAATCTGCTCATTTTAAATATATCGTGGGTTAGGTTAGGTTGAGGTTATATCTGGGCCGAGCGCTGCAGCTAGGATGAGTTGGGGGACCGAGCGCTGCGACTATTAAACATTTAGTTGTTAAAGTTTGCTTAAAGGGACAGTAAAGGAAAAATGATAGGGGGTATAGGCTGAAAGCTAATCACTTTAGCTCTTGATCGCGACCCATGAAAGTCATATCTGATGTTCCTGCCTCAAGAAATTGATATAAAACTGTGTCAAATATATACGAAAATAAATATATATACAATTTTGTATAAAAGTAGTAGGTTTAAACAGATCATATTCAGCAAATAAGCAACCAATCTGAAAACGATGACATCCCAGAGAAAGCTAATTGTAAATTAGGTTTACTTTTATATTTGTTATTTCTATTTTCAATAGATTTCATTCATGATATTATTTTTACGTCCGTATTACTTGACCAGAAATTCCACCAATGGCAGTGTAGTAAAGTGGTCACGTGATACAGGCGGAGACACGTGACCAGTATACTGCTCTGCCATTGGTGATAGTTCTGGTCACGTGATTTAAGTTTAAGATTTTCAAAATTTTACATATATGAATTTTCGTATAATTTAACACAGTTTTATATCAGTTTCTTGAGACAGGGACATCAGATAAAACTTTCATGGGTCGCGATTAAGAGCTAAAGTGATTAGCTTTCAGCCTATACCCCCTTTAATTTTTCCTTTACTGTCCCTTTAAGTTTTCAGAACTCTCAAGACCATTACTTCAGGATTAGACTTTGTTTCCCATTTATAATCTGCCCCTGTTTTCTACATAGGTGGTAAGGACTAGAAGTCTTCTTCAGGAGTTGCGGAGGTTTCGTGATTTTTTTTAATCCCCCGAGGTTCCGGGCCAAAATTTGAGTTAGGGCCTTACCACAACCCCTACGGTCGAAATTACCTTGTACACTATACAGTATAAAAGAATAAAAAAAAAGTTCGCGGATTTTCAAATAGTTTTTCACGCATTTTTAAATTGAATACACACAAACAGTAAATCAAAGTTTATAAATATATAAAATGTAATTATATACCCTCATATGCACTTCTTAAGATATGGAATAAACTGCCACTTGATTTAAAAAGAAGTGCCTCGTTAGGTATCTTTAGAAAAAGTTTATTTAAAATGTTATCTCACGCCAACATCTGAAAGTGCAATAAACCCTTTTTCTTTCAAAAAATGAATATAGTAAGAACTTTGTAGATTTTTGTACATGCTTAATCTTATACTGTTAAACATACTAAACTTAAAACTGAAAATTCAAGTATTTTGTTATGCTGCACCTCGGTCTCTCTAAATTTAACTAGTAATCCCTGACTTATTGTAAACTTTCAAAACCTAGTAATATTTATCATATTGTAAACGTTTTAATATTAATTAGGTGGGAATAATACCCAAACCAGCAAATAGCTAATCTCCACCTAATAGCTATAATACATACATATAGCAAACAATATAAAAATAGTCGCAGATTTTTTGCCTTTAACATTATAACTTGTATGATTTTTAGCAATAAACTATATCTTATCTTATCTTATCTTACCTGGAGGATAATCACTAGGATGAACTAGACTAAGCTGCTTCGAGTTAAGTTTCTCGAATGCCCGTCTGTACTCCCTAAACAAATAACAAATAAATGGATACAAAAATAATAATTGAAATTTCCCGCTACCGCTATAACCGTAAAATGACAAGTGTATAACAATCTTAGTAAACTTGCTCTACACCTAGGGTTTACGCGAAATAACTATATTTTGCACAAATTTTTTTGTTGCGATTTTTTGCGCAAGAAGCACGCTAAGTTTCGCGCGTTTTTGCGTATTTTGCGCAAAACCTGAAGTATTGCGCAAAACGTAGATATTTACACAAAATATATTATCTAATAGACCAAAATTGAGAGTTTCAGTCAAGTTTCAGCACAGAATCAAACAACTAAAGGTTTATTCAAAAATGTAAATACCCCTATTTTTCGTAAAATTTCATTCTCAATTTAGTAAATTTTTCGAAAAAAGTAAAAGATACGAATTTCTATTTTTCATAACACTAAATTCATAATACTAAATTCTCAGTTCAACTACCATACATTGCCGGGCCGGTTACTCCCTTTTTTGTGTGAGATCGTGCACATTTTGATTTTCAGTGTGCCATCAATCATCAGGTTGCAAAATAAAGTTTCAGGCAAGAAATCAGTTTCCTTTTTATGCATTGAAATTAAAAGTCAAAAAGTGCAATCTCATAGAAAACTAATGCATACAGTTTACACTTTTAATCAACCTTTTAATGAGAATGTGTTCCGCAAAATTGAGCAAAATAGAATAACGCAAAAGCGGAATAGCGCAATTTTGCGCGAAATGAAGTTTGCGAATGATTGCGCAAAATGCTATTTTTTCGCTCAAAAACGAAGCGCTACGAAAGCAAAAATGTTCGCTTTCTTTCGCAAAAATTACCCAAAAGTTTTGCGAATGGAAACCCTATCTACACTCACACTACACTATGATGGAATATTGTGATATAAAAAATAATAAAAATAAAAGGTTAACCGTCATTCCGTATAAACCAGGTTAAGCGGCCCCTAAAAAAAAAACATTATTTACCTGTCAAAGGCAGTGAGATCAATATTATCTTGGCCGAGGGCGACCAGCGTCACAAAAAGCATTTGTCGATAAATCGACACAATCTCTGTCCCTTCCTCAGTCGACTGACAAGTTAATGTTCCACTTTTAGTCGGTGTATCGACATTAACAGCACTTCCATCGTCACTACCGCTGACGACGCGTCCAAATTTCCGTTTTCTGTCTGCCAGGATCGCCTTGAAGGGGTCGAGAAGGTTGTTCTCCTTCACCCCAGAGATGATGCTCTGCATCAAGGGGTGCAGGCTCAACGGGTTCGTCTAATCAATTATTTATGTAAATTTTTTAACTATTTTGGTTCACAGTGCTATAAAGCACGGGACAAAATATAATCTGAAAAGGCGAGAACCATCCAGATGCAGAGAAGGTACGAGTTCAAGAACTTTTCATAACTCGTGCATAAATAGAAGTGTTATGAATAATTTTATGAAAAATTAATGATTGTGTAATTGAAGCAATGGTTATAAAACCTATTTCCAAGAGTGTTGAATTTATTTGGAATGTATTGTATACTTTTTTTGAAAATAGTTGAAAACCCGTGAACTCCAAGGCAAGGCAAGGCCAGTAGAGAATTTTGTACTCAGAATTCACCAAATTCTGAAATACACAATGAACTCAGTTTCGGTGGGTGAACGGGTGTATTAAACGTGTTTGTAAACAAAGGCAACCAAAAAATTGAACCCAGGGTTAAAGTCTTAGACGAAGCCTAGAGTTTTAGTTACAGCACAGTTGCAAGTATAAAATGAAATGTCTGGTGAGGTAAAATTACGTATTATTTAATATTTATCAAAAACATGTCGAAACTGTAAAGTATTGTTCCAACATTAGCCTAATTAGAGATTGAGTGTAACCAGGCAGCTGAACTAGTTTTTGCACACCGAAACCGACTCCATTGTGTATAACAGAATTCGTATTTGTATAGTATAAAACTTTTTTATTGACCCACCCATGGACAAACCTTAGTATGCCATAAGAAGTACAAAGTGTTCACGACTCACCTGACAATTTCTTTGTCTCCAAAGTACATGAAGAGGAATCTCCTTGTTGTACAAAGCGACATTATCCCACTTAGTCACAATCTAAAGTACAATGTGTATTATAAATAATAATATTAATAAAAATTACAGTCAATCCTTATCCTTGAGATTAACCTTGAACTCCAGGCTGTTTAAGTTCTAATGGCATAGTCCAACAACACTATCTTAAGGACTAAGTAATAGGTAACAAAATTGAAGAATAATGAAATGGCATGGTCCTAACAACACTATCTTAGGGACTAGGTAATAGGTAACAAAATTGAAGAATAATGAAATGGCATAGTCCTAACAACACTACCTTAGGGACTAATAGGTAACAAAATTGAAGAATAATAAAATGGCATGGTTCTAACAACACTGCCTTGGGGACTAATAGGTAACAAAATTGAAGAATAATGAAATGGCATGGTCCTAATAACACTATCAAGAGACTAATAGGTAACAAAATTGAAGAATAATGAGTAGTTGAAAAGAACAAAATCAGAATTTTTCTTCCTAACTTTCTCATCGTTCATTAATTAAATTCAAGTTGATTTTTCATAAGGTTTTTTAATGAAAAGAAAAAGCAATTAAATTAATGATATAAAAGCTAATTTAGTGCAGAATCATTAAACAAAACAAATCTAATATAAAAGAATATGTGTGGGTGTAGGACGTCCCAAGTCTGATTTTAATATTATATCAGTGAAAACATAATGCCATATTGATCATACAAACATTACTTCATGAGCACTCAATCTTCAGTATTTATGATTTGAATTATTAACGATAATTTGCGGAATGTAAGATATGTTTAATTTCAAATAAAATCCTTAACAGCAATATGCAATTATGCAATATAGGCAAATAATGTATTTCTATGTAAATAATAATGTACATACCTTGACAAGATTTGGTTCGGGCGTATCCCAGGACGGATGTATAGGCGTAGTGTTTAGACTAGGTGTGTCTAGAAGTAGGTCAGGTAGGTGGGAGGGTGTGGCGATCCTATGGAAGAAGTAAAGAAGGTTCCAGAACAGGATTGGATGCAGATCTGGACACGCAGGATCTATCAGGGCAACATCACCCTCCTAACAATTTGACAAAGTAAAAAATTCTGAGATTGAATTTAATGAATTTGAGCCGCGTCTCTAATCCGCCAAAAACCGGTTTCAATTGAGCGCCGGCTTAAATTGAAACATTGTATACAACTTTCAGTGGAACCAAATATATAAATTTGGCAACTCTATTCATAAGTTTTAAAGCTGATCAAGAACTTTTTTATTTTTTTATTTTTACTTTTCGTAAACATGTGCTAGAAATGAATGTGTAAGATCATTTTTTCCATGAAAAAAAGTTAAACAAAAAATAACAACTTTTACCTTGTGTAAGACGGATTCAAGCTCTTTACGTAGCACCAGGGGAGAAATATACGGTATACTGATGGGGAAATTTATCTAAAATATACGAAATACAGATGGTGAAATTGATCTGAAATAAACGATATACTGATATGGGGAAATTGATCTGAAGTAAACTATATACTGAGGGCAAAATTAATCTGAAATATACCGTATACTGATGGGGAAATAAATCTGAAAGGTATACAGGTTTATTTAAAATATACGGTATAAAGATGGGGAAATAAATCTGAGAGGTATACAGGTTTATTTAAAATATACGGTATAAAGATGGGTAAATAAATCTGAAGGGTATACAGGTTTATTTAAAATATACGGTATACTGATGGGTAAATAAATCTGAAGGGTATACAGGTTTATTTAAAATATACGGTATAAAGATGGAGAAATAAATCTGAGAGGTATACAGGTTTATTTAAAATATATGGTGAAATAAATCTGAGAGGTATACAGGTTTATTTAAAATAAATGGTGAAATAAATCTGGGAGGTATACAGGTATATTTAAAATATGCGGTATAATGAAGAGGAAATAAATCTGAGAGGTATACAGGTTTATTTAAAATATAAGGTATAAAGATGGGGAAATAAATCTGAAAGGTATACAGGTTTATTTAAATATACGGTATAAAGATGGTGAAATAAATCTGAAATATACAGTATACAGATGAGGAAACTAAAATATACGGAATACAGATGGGGAAACTAAAATATACGGAATACAGATGGGGAAATTTATCTGAAATATACGTTATATACACTGTATCCAGATTCAGGTTATTTCTTAAAATTTTACTTAATTACTTACAGGGTGGCCAAAACTTTTTTGAACAAATCCGTACAAAAATACGTACATTTTCAGAAGAAATCCGTACAATCCGTACAATTTTCGAAAAAAAATCCGTACAATCCGTACAATTTTTTTTTTAAAAATCCGTACAATCCGTACATTTTTTTAAACCAATCCGTACATTTTTTTAAAGATCCGTACATTTTTTTTAAAAATCTGTACAATCAGCACAATTTTCGAAAAAAATCCCATTTTTGAAAAAAAAAA